ATTGAATTTAAATTATATACATCTCCATGAAACTTATTTTGGTTTTTTTTTTCTTTACAACAAAAATTAGGGCATAACAACCACGTGGTGGTAATTGAAAATGTTAGAGAAGCTCTTTTTTTAAAGGTACTTTTTTTTTTCGGTCAAAAGCTTAAACATCAAATTATTACAGTTTTCGTACATTGTTGTTCCTTGCATCTACAAACTTTCTCCTCATGACCACCATTCGAGGCACCATCACAAACTCTCAAACAAAATACATTAAATGAATGAACTGTTAATTTCTCATCGCCAGTGTAGGAAACAAATACAAATTAATACTCGCAAACATCACACCCCAAGCATGTCAATTCAGCCCTCATGATGAAATATCTCTGGCATCTCTTCACTGATAAACAAGGTCTTTGGTCTAAATGGATTCACTCTTACTACCTCAAGGGTAGGAGTATCTGGGTTGTTAAACCACCCCACAACTGTTCTTGGAATTGGCTCAGCATATTAAACTTGAGAGTTCTCGCCAGACCCTTCATTAAGCATCTTATTGGCAATGGTATGAACACTAGTCTTTGGCATGATTCCTTGCACCCCTATGGCCCCTTGTCACTTTTCTGCAACACCACCACCATGGATGAATCTAGCTTGTCAACAAACTCAAAGGTTAGCTTCATTGTCAATGGCAATCAATGGTCTTGGCCAACAATTGTCCATACTGAATTGATAGATATCGTTCAAAACATGCCTTCCTATCAACCAATCATCTAAGAGAAGACACTGTGAAATGGACACTTGCCCCAAATGGCTTTTTCTCTTCATTATCCGCTTGAAACAGATTAGGGAGCATCACCCTAGAGTACCTTGGTACCATCTAGTATGGTTTCTCAAGGCATCCCTAGAATGAGCTTTATACTATGGCTGGCTATCAGACAAAGGCTAAGCACAAGAGATAGAACCCTAGTGTATGCTGCCCAACTTGGGACTGATTGCAGCCTATGCAGCCATTCCCAAGAATCTCACCATCATCTCTTCTTTGCTTACCCTTACTCAAGGTTCATCTGGTGTCATCCGATGCTTTTATGTGGTGAACAATGGCAAACTACTTCATGGCAACTCCTGCTTGATCAAGTTGTTCAAACTTGGAAGGGTAAATCCATGCTCAGAACCCCTTCAAAAGCTATGTCTCTCTGTAGCTGTTTACTACATTTGGAGATAAAGGAACTCAAGGCTCCATAGCCAGCAATCCAAGAATTCCAAAGTCATCTTGCATGCTATTGTCCAAACCATTAGGGACCGAATGCTCTCTCTTAAATTCAAGATCACTCTGAGGAATGAAAGATTACTTCTAACCTGGCAGCTTCCCAGCTCATGCCTGCTATGATGTCCAAGTTTGTTTTGCTTTGTTTTGTATAGGACTAGGGCTAATTCCCTTGAGGTACTTAGCTAAAGCTTGGTACCCCTTAGGAATTCCCCATACTTTTGTTCATCAATGGGGTTTCTCTGCTTGTATTGGCTTTTGTTTTGATGTACATCACAGTTTTTTCACATGAATAAAAACTTTTACTTTCCGAAAAAAAAAATTCACAATATCTTTCCACACTAACTTCAACATTATCTTATTGTCCAATGTCAACCACATTTTAACATCAGTGTTTCACTTCACTTTTCAAAAATCTCACCAGCATACCATTTTTTTCAAGATAAAAATTACGCGTATCAAGATATATCACAATTATATACAATAATTGAATTACAGGAAACCCAAAAGGATATAATTCGTACATACAAGAGAACTACCCAATCAATTTGAAAGGAATTTAAATTACAACAGTTACCCGACAATTTGTTATGAAAAAAATCTAACTTTTAACAATTTATTCGGAGAGCCAGCGTATGTTTGTCTTGTGAGATAAATTGAAGTGTTCATGTATCTTGTACATTTTTTTTTGGTTTCTCCACCTTCAATACCATGCACGCAGGGTGATTAGGAAAATAGCAACAGTGGAAAATAATATTTGGCAATTGAAATGATGACCATTCCTAAATTCCTAAATCTAGAGTCATTTTTGGTGATGGTTCCCATTCTATTTGGTGAATTTGTAAGCCTAGAAGATCATTCCATTGTTACATACCGCCAATTACCACAAACAAAATATGTCCACATGCATAAAAAATGCATAAATTGTTCCTAATGTTTGTAACCAAAAACTTTAAAAACGTTTAGCCCTGAGCCTATGCCCATATCATGAAATCTTGCTTGGACCCTTCTTAGACGGCAAACTGAAAACTTTAACTAGTGCTAGTCTATATTCCAATACTATAGCACTCCTAGAAACATGCATGGGTACCTACACAACTAAAATCTCTGTCAATAGTCTTTCAACCCCTACAACAAATTCAGCAATGCCAAAAATACCACGACGTTGCAATTTAACAAAGTAAAAAGTAAGCAATTTGAGAACAAAGAGCTTGGTAGAAGTTGAGGAAGTTTCCAATAAGATAGAAGTAAAGTCAGTCCATCGCCAAAAGCTTAAAGCTCGACTACCAATTTTTTCCGTGTTAGAAATCTTAATCTCAACTCTTTTTTACTGAGAATGTTATTTATTTGAGTTAGAATATACTCATTCTATGGTGCTTGCAACCAACAGATACAATATTTTATTTGAATTACAATACTCAGAATAAAAAAATTAATTTCAACTTGTGGCATTAACTAATTTAGTGCCCATGAATAAAGGATACAACGACACTGCATATCACGAGGCTTGACTTGTAAGGATGACAAATGGTTATTAAAATTTCATTTATCTAGGGTTTCCAGGTCATGTTTATTATACAGTAGATAACAGTGCATAACTGACATTATTGATCACATAATTTCAGCACCAATAGCCACTTGTACTAAGTTGATTGTTTTTGTTTGCAGCAGTACATGTAATTTAGAGCAATGTTATGTTTACTATATTATTTATCAAATTTTGTATCCCAAATCATTGTGGGTGGTTGAATTAGTGGAGTTCACTAACTTCCCCCAAACTTTCAATGTATAGGATTTTGACATATCATTTGAGATATAACATTTAGTAAACAAATTTAAAAAACATGTTTTATCTGATGAGAAATAGATCAAAATAATTTAGAAAACCAATGATTGGGTGAAGGGTACTATATCTAGGTAATGGGAGAAATAGAGAAAAATAGTTATTGGGTAGGGGAAAATATATACGTTAGATGTCTATATAAATATTTGTTGACAAAAATTAAACAAACTACGACTACTGTTATTTATCTCAAGAACTACAAGCTACACATTTTGTTTACTACGAGGGGCGAAGCCAAGATTTCTTCATAGCGGGGCAATCATTATGTTGAAGAAAATGATCTAATGACTATCATCAATGCTCGTTGTGCATCACAAATAAATAGTTAATAGGTTTTTCTACTTTTTACTACTTACCTTTTGTGGCCCCTCCCTTGAGGGCGATAATGAGCTCTTTTTTTTTTTGATAAAGATAATGAGCTCTTAAATCACACTTGGCTCCACACAAGAATTGGGCTCATAAGGGACATTCAACAAACATATATCAATATTTTTACCAAGTAAATGTAGCCATGATTTTTACCAATCGGCGATTGCAAAATCCAAAGCACAGTATAGAGCAAGTTGGACTGGGGAAAATTTGCCATGAATATCTAATTGGCTGCAAAAGAAAATCCAAAAATTTCTAAAAGTCAATGTTGTGGGCAAAAATTCCAATACATCAAAGCATTATCAATAATATTTAAATTACCTCTATATCATCCGACGACTATTTTTGATTGGCACATTTTTGATTGACATTAAAACTATCTGTTTATGAGAATAACAATAACGGTGTAAACACAGGTAAGGAATAACTCAAGCACCTTACCCATCATTTCTGGCTTGAAATTCAATCCACCAATTTCATGTTCCATAGTCATAACAAGAGCCATTTCCACCGTTGAAGAACACTTTCCTTCAATTGAATGAAAAGAAAAGTGGGACGGTCAGGTAGCACACAGTATCAGAGAACTTGAGAATTGATAAATAGAGACAAAGCAATACAATAGAGAATTTCAATGGGTGTGCATGATTTAATGCGACACCATGCATCATGCCTTTTGAACTACTTTGGGGATAGGAAGAGGTTGGCGTTGATTCCTTTCATCTGGTTGGTTTTAATCACCACCTGGAGGTGCGGCCTCTAGTAAGAATGTGTGTGTGTGTGTGTGAGAGAGAGAGAGAGAGAGAGAGAGAGAGAGAGAGAGAGAGAGAATAATGTGCCTTGGAGTGGAATCAACTAATGTATTTTGTGTAATAAGGAACTGGTGTATAAATACAATTGAGAGAGATGTAGGGTTGCTGTATTTAAAATGGCCTAATTGCATTATTGTATATATATATATTATGGCATTAAATCTAGAGGATAAGTAAGGCATAGTTGTAGTGTTGGAGGTAAAAATGGAAAAACAATATTTTTCACGAATGCTGGTATTTTAAAGTAGTATAGATAGATATGTTATAACAATATTGTCTTCTATTTGAAAAACACTAGTTATAAATGATGATAAAATTAACAAAGAATTCTAGAAAATATTAAAATTAACAAACACTAGTTACATGTTTATTTATTCGGGTTTGAAGAGAAGCTGGTAATCTGACCAAAAAAAAAAAAGAGAAGCTGTTTTTTTCGGCAAGTAATATAATTTTATAAAAACGAAAAAGGTACATGTACATAGGTGTAACCAAAATGAATGATTGATCTTCTTAAAACACGAAAAAAAAAAAAAGATCCCCCATCCCATAGCAAAAGAATACATTGTAAAAGCACATTCCAAAAGGAACAAACAAAAAATGACAGAATCAAGCTTAACTGGACATCAATACATGAACAGCAAAATGAAGCACCAAAAAGCAGCATCAAGCAATAGCAACAGCACCAACAACACAGCCACCATCTAGACAATCCAACCAACGCAAGTACCAGCAACAGCACCAGAAAATGCATCCATAGAGAAGCCAGTCCAAGTATGAGGACAACCACCAAACACAGTATACCAGGAAGAGAACAATCCATGAACATTGCAGATATACATCCAACTTGTGTCACTTCTTGGCCCCATAAGCATGCCCACATAGTGTTTCAAAAGCACTTGCCATCCCCAGCATCCAGAACTACCGGCAGCAACAAACAAGAAGCATTCAGCCCCCAATCAGCAAGAAGGCCAGGAATCAGCGTGTAGGCCTGGACAGACCCGCAGCAAAAGACATAAAAAACAGAGCAAAAACAGAGGATGAAAGATCAGCAACAAAAGAAACACCGGAAAGCCAATCCATCACAGCATTGACGCAAAAAGGAGCATCACACCCTCCAATCATTCTCCACAAACAAACGGGTCACAAGCATACCACAGGAAAGACCAAACACCAAAGAAAAATCAGCCACATTCGGTGGGATCAAAAATTTTGTCAGGCAAGGCCCATTGTCTTTGCAACCATGCATTAGGAATGTTTCTTTTGATTCTACGGCAGGCATGAAGCTTGAGTCTAACATTTTCCACAATCTCCTTATAAATGGATACAACATCTCTATAGGAGTTTTTAAAGACCCTGTGATTCCTCTCCCTCCAAATCATATATATTGAGGTGGCAAGCATCAATTTGCTAATCAACTTTGGAAAAGTCTTTCCCTTCATATTTGCAGCATACCAATTAACCAAATCTGGCTAATCAAGTCTTGGCCATTGAACATTCACTTTGTCTTTCAATGAAATCCATATTCTCTTAGTGAATGGGCAATCGAAAAAGAGGTAGTTATGAGTTTCCACTACTTCTCTAAAAAACACACAGTGAATTAATTGAATAAAACCATATGATATTAGCTTGTCTTGGGTGGAAAGCCTATTTTGAACAGCCAGCCATAAAATAAAACTGTATCTATGCACATCACCAAAAAACCAGACAATATCAGCCCAAGCTTGCATCTGGCCTTTCACTCTAATTACCTCCCAAGCAAATTTGAAGGTAAAAATCTTGGTTCTAGATGGCAGCCACAGGACACAGTCCCTCTGATTCAGGTCAGGTTTCATATTAGGAATACCTCTTAGCAGCTCCATTATGTCCCCATTTGTCGTCAACCAGTCCCAGTCACCATTATTAATGATAGAACTAACTTTAGTGTCTTTCTTAAACCCTGATTCCCTAATAATGGTCTCTCCCTTATGCTGGTAGATAGAACCTACTGGGTGTCATGGATCAAACTAGAGAAATGTTGAGTCACCATTCCCAATCTTGTAATTCACCAATGCTAAACTTTCCTTTCTCAAGTTTAGAATCTTTCTCCATGCCCATGATGACTTTTGAGGAATCTTCACACTCCAGAAGCTCTTGCCTTTTAGAAGATACGAATAAATCCAATCCACCCATATTTAGTTGTCACTTTTGCTTATAACATTCCATAAATGTTTCATAACAGCTGCTTTGTTCCATTGTTCCATGCTTTTAAACCCAAGCCCCCCTTCTTCATTTGGGAGACACACTTTGTTCCAAGCTAACTTGGCTCCAGTCATTTTAAGATCTGTACCAGACCATAAGAATCTTCTCATTATTTGCTCCACTGCTTTGACAACTTTTTTTGGCAATATCTATACTACTTTAAAATATCAGCATATATGAAAAACATTTTTTTCCACTTTTATCCTTCAACATTACAATTATATCATGCTTATCTCCTAAATTTAATGTCATAATAAATTCATCTTCTAACTTTTGATTATCTTGTTCTAAATATATACTATATATAAATGTGCCAACTTGAAGTCAGTTAACTCCTTGTCTTTTCATCTTTTTTTTTAATACCTCTTTAAGTGGTCATTATGTTGATTATCACAGTAAGCAATAAACCGTAGAAAGCTAACCCATCTGACACTATCAAAATTGTGAACCCAACGCACAATTCTCTCTCTTCTCTCTCCTATGCTTGTCTATCTTCTGTGTGGATTAATCAACTCCCACATATCTCTCCCTCTCTCAAGTCTCAACTCCCCAAAACTCGCTTCAGCCTCTCTTAGAATTATCAGGTTTGATTTAGTTATTTTTTATCCCCATTTCACCGATTCGTGTATTTCTATGGCATTAATGGTCGTACACTATATAGATAGATCTCAAGTATCAATTTCCCAAACTTTGGGTTTCAATTAGGGCACTTTTTGAAAACATTGTTGTGAATTTGAATGCACCAGTGCAAGAGAAAGCTTTAGATGCGCTATTGCGTGCCTAAAAGGTGTGTTTGCATGTCTTTGTGTCGAGACACTTAGCAAATGTTTTGGGCATGTGAACATACCATTTTTATGCTATCCACTATATTTTACGTTAGTTTAGAAATTTGACAGTATTTTACTTGTGCCTATTATGACTTACATTCATTCAAATAATTAGTCTATTTTTATTTTTTGTTAATTGATAGCTTCTGCATCATTGTTGTTGAAACAACGCTGTATACAAATACTTCAACATCAATTATTGGTTCTTGTAACTGAGAATTCTGTTCATTTGCTTGCGAAGTGGCATGTGCAATGACTACAAGAGTAAAGTAGCAGGACTTCATAATCATTGGTATTGCCATTTGTAAGTTTTTGTTTGCTTTTTTCCTTTTTTTTTTGTCTTATATTTTTCTACTTACACCTACACACTGTTTGTGTTTTTTTTATAAGGAAGAGATTTTCAAAGTGCTATGGCATGTACTTTTTTTATTGCCATGATAAAAAAAATTGTTGAAAACTATTTTTGCAGCGATTTTTTTATTTGTTTTGATTTTATTGAGAGAAAGAAAAGCAAAATCTGAAGCACTTGCTCATACCAAATTCATGGGTGTAAATTTGTGGATGCAATATCTTTCTTTCATTCTAATGCTACATTCTTTTGATATATGTATTTAGTGGTTTTCATCGCTGCCGATTTGCACATAGGCATTCTTACATTTGCTTACGTGCAAATGATTATGTATCATTTTCTGTTTATTGAAAAAATTGGCCACTTTATTATAGTACGACCTTCAAACTTTCAGTTTTAACATAAAATAGATTGAAAATTGTTTGGCTATGATTACCAAAGAAAAAAAAAATTGACATAGATCAGCCTATAACATCAGTGGTTGGTTGCATGATCACATGAAACATGATTCCTATATGGATTTCATTTATATTTTGGGCTGCTACAGTTTGGCCTATGTTGTGGATATCAAGAGGATATTATCCTACCAAATGTGAGTTGTGTAGTTCTTGTCTCATGTTGAAGGTTCTGGCTGTTACACTATTGGCCAGAGCTTGGAAAGAGGCAGAGTGACTTAAGTTGACAACTTGTTTGTTTACATTGTTAATTCAAAGCATTTCTAATGGATGTGGTTGGTGAAATTTTCAACATCTAGACAAAATTATAGAAGGGAAGAGAGTAAAACTGAAAGGGGCAAGGGATTGCTTTTTTATTTTCACATTTGTCCAATTAATATCTAATATAGGGCCGCTATATGACAATTGTGAAACCATACCGGAACATTGGGGATATTCAAGAAATCCTCAGTTGTTTATTGATATTTTTTCCTTTTTGCCACCCTTGGCCCTCGGTTATGTTAGAATTTTCGCCACTCACATATCATTTTAGTTAGGTTTTAATTTGCATGAGTCATCTCTTTTTCTGATATTTTGTTGGATGAAGCTAATAAGTATTTTTGGATGTCCTCGCATGCCTTGATTTTTTTATGACTATACTTGGATGGAATTTAAGTGTTGAAATGATAACAATTATGATTTGTAAGTAATGCTAGCCATCTTCCGCAATTGGGGCTGGATGGAATGATGGTGATTTGGTTTTTCACTGTGTTACCCGTCATGGCACTTGTATATAGACGTTGAGTTTGGGGGTTGCAATGCAGATATCATATTTGTATTAACTTGGAAAAGACAAGGACATATAACATGTATGTTGTTGAAGGCAACCAATTCTATTGAGTGGTCAAACATAGTGACCACCCTAGCTATGCTTTCAGTATAGAATATGTTTATAGTGTTAGACAATGTTTCAGGTAGTGTTTATCTATCTGAATGTCAAAATGTTTATGCTCTAGGTGGAGTTGAATGTTGTTGATCATTTTTATGTTATATAATTTAATAATGTAGTGTGTTTTCAAGAATGCTATTTAGAATGAGATCAAAGTGATTTTGTTTCGTGAATGTAGTTGGTTTTACTTGGTAGTAATCAGAAAATATATCATTCTTTTTATATTTGGTTTGATGATAAATATTTGTTACTCTAATTTTCATTGGAGTTGGAATATGTGGCATTGAATGTTTTATCTTTAGGTCGCTAAAAATTTGAAACAAAAAGGTGTTTGATGCATCTATGATTTTCCCTATTCGTTATGAACTTGATTTAGTTTTTTCGGTGGAGATGAGAAAGAGAAGGAAAATGTTTTTCAAAAAAAAAAAGGACAATAACTTGAAAGTCACAAATTGTTCATTTTTATATAGACACGATGTTCATGATGATGTCCTAATTATGGAGGATTCATTGTGTTATGGCAAGTCAGTGGTGAGATTGTCGATTTAAGTGGATCAACAGCTGAAAGAAATTATTTTTCACTTGATTGTTTTCATCAATTTTTTGTCGTGTACAAAAATATAGGAATGTATTCCGTTTTCTATTTACTTAACACTTTCATCATTGAGGATCTACATAAATGAATAATTTTCTCTATTGATGTTGACATGTAAATCATGGAGACCCTTTAATCATATCTTTTACCTTTATTTTGAAAGACCAAGAGGAAATGTTATTCCCCCCCCCCCCCCCCCCCCACCCTTTTAGCCTTTTGGAGAATTTGGTGACTTACACAGTTTTAGGCCATGTTTTTGGCATTTCTTCCACTTGCTGTGGGTCGTATGATGTGATCATGTTTCACCTCAATTGTTTTACTGCAATTCAGAGGGGAAAATAGAGGATAGTTTAGTGGAAGAAATTTGTACTGAACTAGGATTCGAAAAAAAATTAAGAGCTATCAAAATAAACTGACAAGAAGAATTTTGTTGCACTCTGTTGTGTTAAATTGTATACAAGATTTTAAATTCATGTGCATCTAAGTCCCTATTGAAACTTTAAATAGCTAAGAAATCTGTCTTTGGATATGGAATGTTGTCAGCCAGGTGTGCAGAAGCATTTAACATGGAAAAATATTGATCCAAGGTGGTAGCTTTGAGAAATTGCCTTTTCAAACTTGGTTTGTTGGTGTTTTCCTAATATCTAAAAATGTAAACCTCTTACTAATGGCTCTTTCAATTGGCATAAGAACCCTCAATCCCTCGATCCTAGGATTGAATTGAAAAGAG